CTTCCTATTATTGCTTATACTCTCTCTACAACAAAATTAGAGATAAGGGCAAAATAGTTTCTGCTGGGTATTGAGGGGGTGGGGGGAAAGGGAGGGGGTGGAGTGGGTGGTAGGGAGGGGGTGGGGGCAGGGGGGAGAAATGATCCAAGCCTTGTATGCACATATGAATAATAAAACAATAAAAAAAAATAAAATAAATTGTGCCATCCAACATGTTCCAGTCAACCCTTAGTACCTCTGGTGGTACTGGGGTTTGAACTCAGGTCCTTGTGCTTTTTGGGCAGGCACTCTACCACTTGAACCATGCCACCAGCCCAGTACCTCTGAATGTGAAATATGGTCTTGGCACCTGTATTCAAGTTAAAGAGAAGTCATATGGATTAGAGTTGGCTCTAATACAATGGCTATTATCTTCATAAGGAGGACACAAAGACACACCAGGAGAACATCCTGTGATAAAGAAGGCATGGTTGGAAATTATGCTGCCCTAAACCATATGCAAAGGAATAGCAGGTATAGCTGGCAACCAGTAGGAGAAAAGCAAGGCACAGATTCTCTCTCTGGGCCCCTAAGGAGGAACCAACTTCACCAACACATTGATTTCAGATTTATGGCCTACAAAAAAGTGAAAGAATAAACTTCTATGGTTTTAAGTAGCCCAGTTTATGTAAATGTGTTATTGAGGCCATAACAAACTAATATAGCAGTTGAAGTAAAAAAAAGCAAGAGTATCACTTGCAGTGAACCACAAGCCTAGACACACTAGTGACTCACCCAATCTTTCAAATCCCAGCTGACTATACCTGCTTAGGGAAGCTTTCTTTGCCATCTTCCTCTGCAATTAGCAGCCCTCTCCTCAGGAAGCATGGATTTTCAAGTTGTGACAGCTAATTCCCCCAAAATCCCATGAGACATTTTTTCCATTTTATACCAAGGAACTGTAAAGGCCAGCATATCTTGCTTGTGGCAATCCAAGTGATGAATGTGGTAAAGCTGGAATGCAAATCCAGATGGGCTTGACCTTGATACCCATGGACTTTTTACTACAAGCCATATTTACAATTATTTTCTGAAGCTTACAAAATAAACTCTGTATAGTCACCTCCATCAGTTATCAATTCTAACCAGTCAATTTTTCATATTGTTTTACATCCTGAGAGAAGAAACCTTGAGTACCTCTTACCGTGTACATTATTGGAACCTCAGATTCTAATGTTGAATGCTGAATATTTGACTGAGGGCCACAATGTGCCTATAAACAGGATCAACTGATTTAACTGAACTGAAAGTCATAGAAACATTACATAGTCATTTTAAGCTAAAAGCAAGTAAATCAGGAAAGCTAAAATCCCATACTAAGGGTCACATATTGCCACACTCTCTAAACCTGCATTTAAATATAAGAATCAGCCAGTGCACTTTTACCTGCTACCCTACTTGCTTCCTAACATAAAATTACCAAAAGCCTGCAAAAGAATATTTTCTTGCTATGTTGTATATGCCACCCATGAACATATGTTTTGATTAGTCTAAGCTTCATTAGTATCACATTTCAACTGCAAATAAGTCATCATATTTAATATACAATATGGCAGAGACCCATTTTCTAGTTTACAGTGTGAATTCCATATTGTTTCATATGTTATTATCCAATCACACATTTCAATGTTACAAGCCTAAGCAAGTGTTTGATCTACCATATCAAACCTCACACTACTACTATTTGGTACAGCCTTCTTTTCCATTTTAAAATAAACCTTTGTTTTACTTGAAAACAAGACAAGGTTTAGTTTTAGTTTGTACTAAAAATCTGGGCAGCCAGGAGAAAATTCCCTAGAATGGGATATAGTGGGTTTATTAATACAGATGGATGATTTGCAGGAAACAAGTGTTACAAGACAGCAGGAGCAGCTTCCTCACTCCCTGTGCTCTAAAGAGGATGAGAAGGAGCTCAAGAGGGGCAAAGTTAGATTTTGAAATATTCTCCCACACAGAAACACAAGAAAAAGAAAAAACATAACTCATGGAATGAAAGGGCATGAAGGATTTTCTTTTTCTTTTCTAAATTGTATGATATAGCTAAGTTAATGAGAAAACTTTTTGTATGTTTGTTTTTGGTTTTTGAGACAGGGTTTCCCTACCCAGCCAGGCTGACCTCAACCTTATGATCCTCCTGCCTCAGTTTCCTGAGTTCTGTTATTGTAGCACTACCATGTCCATCAAGAAAACATTCTTAAATGCAATATGGTTCAGGGAAGAAACATCTTTTTATAGATTGGGAGGGAAATTTCCCCTCTGTTAACATATTAGACAATTGTTTAAATATGAGTTATAACTAGCCAATCTGAGCATTTGCCTAACTCAGTTCACATCTCTATACATATGTTCCAGGAGTCCAAGTGAGCATTTTCTCTAATCTGTCTGTACATAGTTTATGCACAGATACTGGCCACATATGGAGAACTGGTGAAAAAAAAATTAGGATGAAAAGAAAAATCACAATGTAATACTGTTACTTTAAGACAGAGTTTTGACCACATACACTCTTATACTACACATGTTAATTAAACACAGAAACATAACAAATCGTCTATGTTTCTGGATATTTTGTTTCAGAAGAGTCTAAGAATGGACAGTTACTGGAGATAACATGCTAAGTTAAGCAAGTCAGGTTTTGTGCTTGCTAAGCAAGTGTTCTACCTAACACTTGAGCCGTGGCTCCAGCCTTGTTGCTCTGGTTATTTATGAGGTAGGGTCTTGCTTTTAGCCCAGATTTACCTGGACATGATCCTCCTAATAACGCTTTCTCCAGTTACTGGGATAAAAGGCACATGTCATCTTAGCCAGCCATCAGGTGAGCTGGGGTTTCGGAAACATTTTGACAGAGCTGGCCTCGAACCACAGTCCTCCCAATCTCTACCTCCCTAGTAGATAGTGTTACAGACATGAGCCATCAGTACCTGGCTCTTTTGCCTATTTATATGACTAAGATTTGAAGCACTATGCTGAATAAGAGTGGTTATTATGGCTAACTGCAGTGCTTTCAGTTTTTCCCCATTCTGCCTAATGTTAGCTATAGATCTGTAACATATAGCTTTCATTACGTCAAGGTAGATTCCTTCTAATTCCAAGTTTCTTCAGGGCTTTTATTATAAAGGGCTTTTCCTCCATCTATTGAGATAATTATGTGATTCTTATCCTTATTTCTGTATATATGCTGTATTAAATTTATTGATTTTCATGTGTTGAACCACAATTGCATATTCCTAGAATGAATCTACTTTGATCATACTATATTATCTCATTAACGTGCTGTTGAATCCTGTTTCCAAGTATTTTATTCTACCTATGTTCAATAAAGAAATTGGCCTATGGTTTTCTTTTTTTTTTTGTCCTGCTGTTATCCAGTTAATAATGACTTCATAGAAAGAGATAGATATTTTTTAACTTAATTTTTTTCTTTTTAAATTTATGGTATTTTTTTCTATTTTATCTCTCATTGTTATGTGTTTGGGGAAGATAAGGTACACTGAGGCATGGCTCAAGTGGTAGAACACTTGTCTGACAAGTGTGGAGCCCAGTACCACCAAAAAAATACACTAAAGCATGCTCACATTGTGTCATCTTGATGAGAAATCGTGTCAAAAATTTTTTTAATTTAATTTTTTGAGTATGTAATACATGCATGCACTTAGGAAATAATTTATTTAAGAAGCATAGAGTATAATGTTTTGATAGTTTTGTATGCAATGTATTTACTCTATTTAAGTTGCCAGTAGATGACAAATACTCTAACAAAGCAACTTCTGCATATAAGCTGGTTAAATTTACCCATTACCAATTTTATCACATAGGGTATTTGTCATTTATGGTGGCTTTTTTATTTTTATTTTTTTGGCAGTAGGGGGTTTGAACTCAGGGCCTTGTGCTTACTAGGCAAACACTCTACCATTTGAGACATGCCACCAGCCCTTGTCATTTATTTTGCTATAAATTTTTCTTCACAATAACCCATGAGGAGTGGAATGGGAGAGAGAAATGGAGGGGAGGAATTCAAGTATGATATATTTGATATATTGTAAGAAGCTTTGTAAATGCTACAATGTACCCATACCCAGAACATCAGTAAAAAAAAAACACCAAAAGAAAAAAACATAACCCATGAATTTAGCTCCTTTTTACTACCTTCTGCTCCAACAGTTCTTTTACTTCTTCACTTGTTTAAATATCACCTCTTTCCTACCCTATTTTGACCATACTTTTCTCTTCCTCACCTATCAATATTTTCTTATCACTCCTGCATAAAATGCAAATCCACAAACAAATCCTCACTCTCTGATGACTAAAAATCTCCTTTAAGAAGTCTTTCCTAATCAAAGTGCATCTGCTTCCCTCCCAGAATTTCTTCACACACACACACACAAACACACACACAAATCAGATTATGATTTATCAATCTTTATAAAATATTGCTTTCCGCAAAACATCAAGGTTAGAGAGTTAATTTCAAAAATTAAGATGAGCTTAGGGTTTGGGGTCAGATAAATCTGATTTAGGTTTTATCTTCATTATTGTTTGTGCCTGAGAAAATAACTTCTCTTCGAATTTTTCTTTAGGTAAATTAGACTTAATTTCCAATTATTGCAAGGACACAATAAAATAAGGTATGCATAAACATCCAGTATAATGGCCAAAATGTAGGGTTTTATTCTCTTTCTTAGCTTTTATACATTTCTTGAGCTTACTACCCATTAAGCTGTATACTCCTTTATCATCAAGAACTGCTTCCAACTACAAGCATTAACTCAAGAGTTCCTACATAATGGAAATTCAGCTGTGTGATGAAGATGTGAGCAACCTGCTTCCTCCCTGTTGTTTTGACAAGCCACTGAGCCATTTGAAAAACATCCAGAAACTCATTGAAGCAAAATGAACCATCAAATAATGAGGGAAGATACAGATGGAAACATAAAGGAGAGTACCTGGAGGCTCCTACTCACCTGCCAGAACCAGGTCCCCTGTAGTATGATGAGGCTTGACCGGAGGAGTTCCAGAAGTATGTTGTTCCTTGTGAAGAACTCCATGAAGGTAACCAGTGCTGTCAAAAATATGACTAAGACTAGCAGTTGGTGCACAAAGATGTCTAGCATTTCCCGGCCATGTGTGTGATTGTAGAAGATAAAAGCTAATAGAGGGGAGAAAAACAATTTTTTTCCAGTGAATCAAAGACTTCCCTCTCTCTGTCCACAGAATTTTATATACAAATACAAGTGCCCAAAAAAGAAAATCTCCACTGGTTCCACAGTAATACATCTTTACAATTGGAGAGTCCTCACTGCCTCTTTAGAATGGTCTCCTTGAAATCCTCCCTTTTCCCTTCCCCAACCTTGATTCTTCCTTCTAACACAAAATGACATTTTCAGCTAAATGTCATTTCAAACGTTTCAAACATCTTCTATACAGGATGATGAGTAATAAACATGGCAGGGACAAAGGAGCTATAATTAACATGAATATACAGATGAGTAAGCTGAATCTGAGGTCTTGCCTGATCCTTTAGGCCATTGGTAGAAGCAAATGTGCATATAAATCATAAGAGTGGACCTTCAGAAATATGAAGGTCCTCTAGAAACTCCCAAGAAGTAGTAACTAACTGCATTTTTTCATTTCAAGAACAGATTGCAATTTCATCTTAATTGTTTTCATTTAGAAAAAGAAGAAAAGGTGTTCATTAAAAGAATAGTAGCACCTTGAGATGAGAATCTGCATTTGCTTTTATCCCATGAATAGATTCCAGTTTCATCTTGTTTTCATTTAGATAAAGAGGAAGAGGTGTTTATTAAAAGTATAGCAACACCCTGAGAAAATGAGAATCAAGCTATCTTCTATCTAGCCTATTTTTTCTCAAAGAGGAATAGGCACACATTCTGTGAGAGAGGCAGGCAGGAACTGACTGACTCTTAATCATTGGGACTTTTATAGTTCCATAGTCAATCTATATCTTGCATGTATAATAAATGAAAACAAATCATTAAGCATTTTTTTCCATTTCCCCTTCACATTAACCTGGGAAACCAACTGAACTAAACATACTGTTTTGTTAATTAGCCTCTCAAAATTTGGACCTCATGTTTTTATGTGACTGAACCTTTTGGACCTTACTTATCACATATTGGCAGAGTTTTTCTATACCAATATTTTAAAAGCTAGTTAGGATATAGTGGAATCTATTCTGCTGTGAGTGGTTGCCCCATTTCAGGGTATTCATGCTCCATTACTCTGAATTCAATTTTCATTGTTAAAGGTGGAAATAATGATAATCTCTACAACAACCAAGAGATAAGTAACTGTTACAGGTGATCCTTTAAGACAGATGCAAAGAGTGAACAAAAAGTGATTGTATTTGCACATTTCTACTAAATGAGTCAGTAGGAAAAGAGAATCTTTGGTATCTTGCCTAGGATGCACAAATATCTCACCATGGCCCCATCAATCAAGGCTGCACCGAAACATAAAGACACATTATTTAAAAAGGGCTACAAAATGTCCACCAATAGAGAAAAATACAGGAAAAAAATACTCACTCATACTTACCCTCCACAAATAAGGCATTTGACAACATTAACTTTGTTAAGGAGACTGGAAGTGAACTAATGGTGAAACATAAAATGTTAGCCACACCCAGCAGTCCGAAGAAGAAATACATGGTGCAGTGGTGCCAGCCTGGGAGTTGGTTCCACTGGCCCTCTTTATATAAGGTCAGGTAGGGTCCTCCAGCAATAAATTGTTCTCCAGCTATGCCTGTAGAAGAACATATCAATTTTAGCAACCCTCTCTATACCGTTACCTACATGCATGACTGACTATGCAGGAGCTCATTGCCTATTCCAATCTATTGTCCTCTTAGGACATTGATTCCTCCCTGAAGTGTTTCATAATAGCCTAGCACTGGTGCTTCAGGCCTGTTTTAGAGGTTTAGATGCTGTTCTAATAACCAATTTCGTAAAATAATAACCAACTGAGTCAAACAACTGGTTAAGATCTTAAATTTATAATTTTATAATTATAGTTCAACTACCTTCTAATCTAATAACTAAAGTAAATCTTGAATGGTTTGGGGGTTTGGATTTAAGAGATCAGTCGTATAGGGGATGACTGCTTTATTCCTAAATATTACATCTTTGGGTAGGTGACTCAAAATTTTATTTGTCCTTGGTTCTCAACAAAGAGGTTCAAAGTTTAGCTTTTCCCCAATTAAGACCAACTGAGAAAGCCCAGACAGACACAGAATATGATCTAGTCAATTATGCAAACATATTAACTTTCTTTGAGATGCTGCATTATTGGTCTAGAATTTGACAGGGACATTCCTCTCTTTGGAAATGGTTGCTCTGTAATTTCAATGGCCATAGCAAAGACCTATTGTCATTAATAAAACATGAAAAATCTAATGTGAATGTGGGAAGTTTTGCATTTTATAAAGGAGAGGCCTCAGGAGACCTCTAAAAATATAGAACACTTCCATAGAATATGCAAAGGAAAGATCTCAGAAGTTATCTGGTCTAACATTTCTTCAATTTAGAAAACAAGAGAAAAAGGATGAGTACATGACCAAGGTCTTCCTCAGCTCTGACCCCTCTCTATGTAACCTATCAGTAATAATTTGTCATTGAAACTTCTCAACAATCACTTAGTAATTTTGGTGTCATTTACAAAATGGTTTCTGATAGGGTTTCTTCTTTCACAGATCAGAAAACTGATATAAAATTATTTCTCCAGGCTCCAACCAATTCTAAAATTCAACTTGACTGGATAGGTTAATTACTTTGACTAATTCATTGAGGAATAAGCCTTTGTTTAAACATAAAGTATAGCCTAACAAATTACATTAGATGGAAATTAAAATTAGACTGTGTATTAACAGATACTTTTGAATACAAAGTTAATTTTAGCTTATCTTGATTTTGTATCATCTTCTTTTTTGCTTATGAAAATATACAAAAGGAGGAAACAGAACACAGAAATGGTCCACTCACCAGTTATAGCCATAATGACTATTACAATTCCCTCCAACATGTCCACTCGATGAAATAATGCTTTGGAACCAAGGTAGCAGGTTCGCTTTTGCTTTTTGCAGACATATTTCAGAATACTCTTTATACTCCACCAAAGACCCATGACAAAGAAGAAGGTTCCAGGCAGAGCATGACCTCTGAAATTCCCCATGAGCTATAAAGATAAGCGAAAGAAATTTCATTTCTGAAACCTGGTTAAAATATCTCTTAGCCCTATAGAGTATACTATCTTCTGATGATTACTAGTACACAGCAGATACTACTACAATAGCAATAATGTCAAGTAAAACAAATCACATTCACTTACCATGTATTAGATATGGTGTCAAGTGCTTTACATGGCATCTCTAATATTTGCAACATACCTTTGAATCAGTGATTTTATTCCATTTTCAATTTAAATATAAATTTAGACAAAATAAATTACTTGCCCAGATCTCACAACTATTAAGCAAATATTTTGTTGTTTTTAACACAAAGCTCAAAACAATTTCTTAAAAAGACAAACTATACTTCACCATACAACTGGCATGCATATATAAAGGAAAGTAATATGAAACTTTGACTTTTTGTTTTAACTTTGAAATGATGTGAAGCTGCTTGCAAATTTTTAAGGAGATAATTGCAAAAGATCAAGTGTGTGACCATAACCATTAGTATTCATCAGATATTTGTGTGTGCCTTCCCATACTTTCCCATCCTCTGTTCTGCTTGGATTGAAACTATGGTTTTACTTCTGATTATTAGGCAAATTTTATTTATACTATTGCCACATGATGTGTCACCTCTGACTAAAAAGCATAAGTACCCTCTGTTTTTTGACAATACTACAAAAAATCAGTCTTGAAGTATGAGTTTCTAACTAGTCAAACTCCCTTCATTCAAGTGTACTGTACCATTAACAGAATTATAAAGAGACTGTCCATAACCTTCCTTGTGGATTTAGTACTAGGAAAATCCAAGAAAACTCATGAAAGAGGAGTTTAGGACTCCCCTTGGTTCAGCAGGCTTCCTTAACTCCCTCTCAATTCAGGGAAGACCCCCCCTTTTTTTTTCTTCTGGTACACAAGGAAACTTCAGAGGAAACTGTGAATCTGATCCAAATACTGCCAATCCCGTTTCCAGTCAAGACCCCAGATGCTCATTTCAGTGTAGCCTTGAATCATCCATGCCATTCAAGAGTCAGACTCAATATGTCATGTATTGTGTCGTGCAGGTTCTTGTCCTAACTGTCTCTTCTGGTGTATTTGGAGCATGCCCCTTAACTCTCTGAGCCTTAGTGCTTAATTAATGATTCTTGGAGTTCCTGATCTGACAGTCTCTGATTCATTATTATCTTAACTATGACATTTACCATACTGTTATGGAATCCTCCTGTTTTGACTTAGGCAACCATATGTGATTGAAAAATACATCCAGATTATAAATACTTTGAACTTTTTGGAAAAGTATTTATTAGGATTTAAGAAGCCTTCAACATTTTATATTCTTTAGTATAGGAAACTCATTTGCAGGAATTTATCCAGAATATATACTTGAAAATGTAAGTACCAAATTAAAAACAATACATATTTTGTTTTTAACTTTGGATACATATATAATAATATATATAAATAATTTTGGATACATATACAATTTTAGTATATCTATAAACAATTTTGGATATTATATAATTTTAGATGTATGTCCAAAATTTGTAGAACCCTCAAATAAATTATACAGCTGCTAAAAATATAATTTTCAAATAAAATGATAGGTGATATACTTAGTAAAAAGAACAAGATAGAAATGGAAGGGCAGAGGCTTAGATTCAAACTGAGTATATCTGACTATAAACTTAATCATTTATTAACTGATGGCTTTTGGCATGTTACTTAATCTTTAGTGTCCCAGTTTCCCTTTTGTAAAATGGGACAATAACCTACAATACAATTAAATAAGCTTATGCTATCCTCAACCCACTTCAAATTACAGTATAAAAGTAAAACCAAATTAACAATTGTACTTGGATACTAAATACAGAAAAGTGAGAAACTTCTATACAATTCATTTGACAATCATCTGTGTACTGCTTGTAACATTTCTACTTCTAACGCCCTAGAGGGTTACTTGGATTTTTATGTTTGTTTTACTCCTGAAGTATAATTAGAGAATAAACTCCTTGAAAGCCAAGACCATAAATCTAGTCAGCTTTCTATATCCCCTTAAACCTGGATAATGTCCTATGTACTACAAAGTTCTAAATTAACAAGAATAATTAAGATCTTATACTACAAGGTCATTTATTTATAAAACATATCTATTTCAATATCTCAAGGACCACCTCATACTCAGTATATCCAACATTGAATTAATCATCTTATCTACTACCCACTGCCCAAAGTAATTTCCTCTTAGTTACATGTTTGGCTGACAACACTGCCATTCACCCAATTGCTCAAGCCCAAAATAGCCATCCTTGGGTCTCGTTATTTCCCTAAAATCAAGTTAGTTACTGAGAATTATTTCCTCTGTTGTCTAACATAAACCTTCCATGCTCCAAAATTAACTGATTTCTCCTAAATGCTTCAGTTTCATCTGCTTGGGAAATTCTCCCCGAATACCCAAACAGGGGTGGTTATCGCTTACACTTTGTCAAAGTACCAAGTTCTCACTTTATTGAATTTCTTGTGTGATTAGTTATAGACGTTCCATCCTCCTCATTAGCCTCTTTGACCTGAATCACCAATATTGGGGGAGCATGAATATCAAGTCATTGGAACCTCTTTCAAGTTAAGAGCTTGGACCAAATCCCTTTCTTTTTCCCTTTTTTCTTTTTTCTTTTTCTTTCTCTTCCTTCTCTTTCTTTTCTTCCCTTTCTTCCTTTCCCTCCTTCTCCTTCCTTCCTTCCTTCTTTGCTTCCTTCCTTCCTTCCTTCTTTCCTCATGTATATCAAGTCACTGGGGTTTCTTACAAGTTAAGGACCTGAGCCAGGTTTATTTTCCTTCCTTCCTTTTCTTTTCTCTCTCTCTCTCTCCCTCTCTCTCTCTCCCTCTCTCTCTCTCCCTCTCTCTCTTTTTCTCTCTCTCTTTCTTTCCCCCAGCATATTAAAAAAAAGGAAGAAAATGCCAAACAGAGCTGAAAAAATTGTGGTTGCTTTTAAATGTTTAGAATAATCTAATAGATGCTTTTAACATACAAGTGAAACATTATTTCCTATGTCATAGATAGCATGCACTTTTAAAATCTAGGCCCTTCCTGAACATGCAGCTCAAGGCCCAATAGTCCTGCCAATTCACCACTATGACAGACTGGGTGGACCAGTGTATTTCAGTGCACCAGTGGAATGTAGAAAGGAGGCAATGGGGAGATAGGGAAAGCTTTCAAAGAAAGATATAAGGTGATCAGAGCGGGGAAAGAAATGAGTCCTTTCTACTTCAGTTATGGAACTTATATATTTCTGGCTTTTAAAATCAAATATTCTGATAGCTCAAATGCTTCTATGTTCAAAAGACTCACACAAAAACAAAGACAAAGTCATAGGAGGCTGGCTATATTCACCTGACTAAAGGACCCAACAGACTCAGTTATTTCTGGCATTTATTTTACTTCACTTTCATTTTAGAGAGAAAAAACTTCCCACATCCTCAAAAATCACAAAAACCAGTATTCATCAATCTGTTGTTCCCTGCACTATTATTGCCTGCAGGTACAACTTACTCCTTGTAAAAACCAAGTACAATGATAGAGTTTGATGAAATTTAAATGCAAAGATCAGACACATTCTTCTTTTAAAGGAGAACACAGAACACTCTTTCCTCACCCACAAAATAGAACATATTTGGCAGGCAGCCAGCAGAAACGCTGGAAGAATTACCAAGGTAGAAAACAGAAAGGCCCTCCTTCAGGACCTTTCTGATTCCACCTTTAGTTTCAACCACTGGTCTCTGAATAAGGGCCATCCTAAAAATATCTCTCCTTATCCAAAGAAACTCATTACTCCTAATGACACCAAACATCGTCTTCTGGGATGAAGACAAGAAAAAATTCTTGCTATTCCCATTGGCTTCTTTTTGCTGACTACCCCTCGCATACTAACTCACTACCCAAAAGAGAAATATTTTTAAACTCTAGCACTTAAGAGACAATACTGGGCGAATCTCGAGATCTAAATCAGGTGTTAGGTGTTAATTCTCAGGTGTTACAGCCACAAAACCACAGACCAGCCCATACACAGAAAGAAAAGAGAATTCAGCCTAGGGAAAGAGATTCAATTTTCTTGGTAGAATTATAATCAGATAGCTAGCTTCAATATAAAAGAATACTATTATGAGAAAAAAATTAAACTGAAATTTTGTCTTGAGCCACCACCAAAAAAGTATTTCTTAGTGACTCATATTTCAAAACACATTTGTAAATTCCAGTACACTGAACATGAACTGTCTTGAGCTTCACTTTACTATTCGTCTCAATCATAGGATACAAGCATATGTAGCTTTAATTTTCTTCATGCTCCCTCATTCCCTATCAGCAAATTTGAACTGCTTTGAATTTTCTTAGTTAAATTACCTTATCTTCACCCTTTCTTCAGTGTCAAGTTCAACTGAGTTCTCTTCTCTTAAGAATTTGTAATGGTTCCAGACTCCAAAAATCAAAGCAGATGCTGATGGATCCTAAATCTGAAACCTCCTCCTGCTCTCCCTTTGAGACTAAACTAATGTACTCATCTAATGTGACTATGTCACAATGCATTTAAGTTCAGGGAACACGCCCATTTTGTAAATCCTGCTTCCCTGTCCACTATTGTGCCACAAACTTATTTGTAGGTAAGACTCACCTTGCCATCCCAGGTCACAAGTCTCAGTCATATGCCACCTGCTCTGTGAAATAAGGCCAATGCAATACATAACCTTTCTCTCAGGTTATCAAGATGGATAGAACACAAATGAAATAATTATAGCTGCAATAGCATAATTGATTATATTCTAACTCCTAAAAAGATAAAGCAGTTCCTGACATGTAGTGTCTCAAGAGATTGTCACAGGTGTCAGAGTTGACTCATAGCCAAAATTGAAGTTACTGGACTAATAAAAGGTGAAGGAACAAAAATGTCAACAATAGCTCAAAGTACTTCAAACACTGTCCCAACTATGCCTACATTGTACAATAAGG